CCCGGCCCCCGGCTCAAAAAGGTTGCCTACCCCTGTTCTAGATGGTAAATTTTGGGAGAGCCAGTGTGGTGTAGTGGTTTGAGTCCTGAGACTATGACTCTGGACATCAGGGTTTGATTCCCTGCTCAGCCAGAGAAACCAACTGGGTAACCTCAGGCAAGTCAGATACTCTCAACTGCAGGAAACCCCATGATAGGTTTGCCTTAGAGTCACTTGAAGGCACTCTACAACAACAGAGACCCATTTTGAGTACACAGTTCAGCACCTTGGAAAGCTCCTTTAAATCCCGGTCTAAAACTCAGAAAGGCTTCTCTTCCCAGTGGCATGAAATTTACCAGCTCCCATTGAAGTAAAAGGGGAAACCATCTTCTTTCTCCTGTTCTTTCTCTCTGTGTTATACCTACACGGTGCATATACAGAAGCAGCTTCAATTTGCACATGGATCTGTTCAGAACCTGACCATACTTGGTATTGTTTTACAGGGCAGGCATGAGGGATGGAGATAAATGATACATCAGCTCAGGTATTTATAATGCGTCAAGACAAATGGAAACTGTCAAAACTAAAATGCATCAACAAGGTCTCAAGCAGACTAGAAAGTGAATTCCTGTAAGTATAATTTTGCATTAAGGAGTGAATGTTTCATGGCCATGTTTGCTGCTTGCTTCTTCCCAAAGGACCCTTTCCAGAATATTTTTCTTCATTTAAATTGTCCTTTTTAAGAGATCTATAAAATTCACTTTATTGTAGTGGAATGACTTGACTGAATGCTTTTTTTAAAAAAAAGGTACTACTTTTTAAAATGTCTTTCAGAGAATTTAGGGTTTTTATAGTTCACTGGATGCACGCATGGTTTGCATCAGTATATTCTCCTATGTTATAGTAAATGAGACTGAGATTTAAAGTAGAAAATTAAATTATTGCCCACAGGGATCTCACAGTCATTGCTACAATCAACACTTTTCAGATCAGAGTGTTGATCTGAATGAACCAGTTCCAGAGAGGAACTAGCTTGGGGCTATATAAAAATATGGATCCAATTCTATGGGCAACTGATGTAGAAAAAGAAAAGACCTTCCACCTTGGAGATATTTAACACAGCAGGACCAATACAACATAAATAATCTCAGAATCTAGGTTGGGGGCAAAACATGCAAAGATTTGTTCAAAATACATTAACTGAATTATAGTATTTCTGGCCCAAATCCATGCTGTAGCAGAGTATAAGTTCCAGTATAAATAAACTATTTTCCTCACAATTGCTTTTGGGGGTTGTAATGGGAAGCAGAGATAACCTGCCCATCATTTGCACTGTATTCTGGTATTCAACTCTCAGTAGTTTCAATAGATAAATTCCAGCAAGAGGTAAAGCAGCCTTACTATTCTTAGGAGCTTTTTGTACATTGAGAAAGGAAGTGGCAACTGGGGACTTCCATGTGATGAATCTGCTCTGGGCTTTGGTCTGAACTTAAAGGGAGCTATTTAAAGTGCTGAACTATATTGCCCCAATAGGCTCAGGACCTCCTTTAAAATTCTTACCAAAACCTGAAGTGGATTCACCATCCCACAGAAATGGAAGCCGAGAGGCTAACACAAACAATCCTACGCTCCACTGCAAAAGTGTCGAGCACATAGCTTATAGCAACCAAAAAAGGATCAGAGAGCCAGAATGGCAAAGTGATTTGAGTGTTGTATTAGAACTCTGGAGATCAGAGTTCAAATCCCAGCTGGGCCATAAAACCCACTGGGCGACCTTGGGCAAGTCACACTCTCTGAGCCTCAGAAGATGGCAATACCAACCCCCCTCTGAAGAAACTTGCCAAGAAAACCCAGTGAGAGGATTGCCTTTCTCCTCCTCCTCCTCCTTCTTTCTTATCCACCTTCCCCTTAGAGTCACCATAAGTCAGAAAAGGCACAAAACAACAAAGCCCAAAAACAAAACAACAAAGGAAGTGAAGGAAGTACACGCAGGACTTAAGGGATGAAGCTGTGCCCCATTTTACTGATGGCACTGCAACTGGTCATTGAGGTTTCTGTGCATTGTTACTCCAAAGCAAAAGTCTGAGAGTGTGGGTCTCAAGCTCCACTAATTTCAGGCAGTCTATGCAAAGACTGCAAAGCAGTTAAGAACATTTGTAACTGGCTCTGCTATTGATTGACTGAGTAATTGTTTTTCTGAAGAAGATAATGAAGATTGGATTATCAAACAGGCTCCTAACCTGGGCCTGTAATCCAGTATTTTCATAGTTTGCTACTGCTTTTCATGATCATGCTGAGAAGGAAGAGAAATGTTACTTCAGTTCACAGAAGGGAAAAATATTGATCAAATGATCCCCTGAGACCCCTTGTGATTTTAAAGTGGCAGAAGTGAAGGGCACTGGGCAGCAAAGGGACAATAAGAATTTCTCCCCTAAAGAAATATAATCTGAAATGACTCTAAAGTCCTTTAGTCAACAAAACAAGAAGTCTTACTTGCTTAAAGAAATACTTAAAACATTTTGTGGAGCTGATTTAGGAATGCTTTAATGATTGAAATGCAGGACTGTTTTAAATTTACAGAATTCCCAGGTGCACACAAAAGCATTAAAGATCATTTAGATACATCTTTTAGATGTATATCTAGCAATTTTGTGCTGCTGATTGAGTGATTGGTTGGTTGTGGTTCACCAGGGACCAACCCTGGTACATGCAACTTGGCCCTTGTGGTAGACTGAAACTGTTTAAATGAGAATTTATGCATGACATCAAATGAAAAGAAGTCCAGATCTCACTGAGATATCTTTTATCCACCAATACATATTTCTAGCAGAGGAGAAAGAATCTTGAAAGCATCAGTCTCTATACAGACAGCAGAGATGACTGGAAAATAATTGTCCACTGACTTGTCAAGACACTGTGAATTCTGCACTGCCTTAACACTGTATTGGTTCGAAGCGAGGGCATGTGGTAGTATAGCATTAAACTGGCTCTGTATGGGAGAAGCAAGAATATGTAGCTGTCAGCAAACCTATGCCTCTTAGCTTCTCAATTGTATTTCACACAATTCACGTTAAAAGGCAAAGAGGTCAATCCACGAATGACTGTGTTAAAGATGATTTGCTGACCCTTGCTCTTGAGATGATTGGGTCATCCGTCAAACGTTTTCATATGCTAGCAAGGCACTGCACAAACAGTGAATCTATCTAATGGCCTAATCCTAAGATTTGCAGCTAAAGCACATAAGTGCTTTGGATAAAGTGTACTGAAAACACCACCTGGGCAACATCAGAAAAGCAGAGTGCAATCTCCAAGCTAAAATGGCATTACAGGCAGACACCTTGCTACAAATATGTTCAACTGAAATGGCCACAGCCACAAATCGTATAAGACTAAGGATAAAAAAGAAACACAAATAAGTGGCATGTCCACTTTCTATTATTTAATTTATATTTTTAGATTGCTTCCTGACAAAGATTTATATGAAGGTTAATGTTCCGGCCAAGTTTTTAAAAAATTGATACCATCCTCAATATTTAATTATTATGGTGAATTATATACAATATTCAGATAATATAAGAACTAGAGTAAGTAAAATGTTTATCAGTACCTCTATGCTGGTTCTTTACTGATTATTCTATCTCAAGAAAAAAAAATGGGACTTATCTTAAAAACTGAAATGAAGGGTGGTGTGTTTTTTTAGAGACAACTCAGAATCATAAAATAAGTTGTACTCATCTTGCTTAAATGTTGCATAATGTATATAATGTAAATTACAGTGGGCTCTCCTTATCCGCAGACTTGCCATCCACGGATTCCAGCATCCGTAGACGGCAAGCCCCAGTTGCCCCAATACACACACACACCAGCCATGGGCACTTCCAACATGCTGCCCTTCCACACCAGGAGAAAGGAAGAAGGGTGGTGGTGACAGCTTTGGGCCAGAGGGTTCTCAGCCTTTAAAGCCCCACTCTAGGAGGGGGCCCAGTGGATTCCCAGGCAGCCGGGAAGGAGGAGAGGCAACAGCTCATCCCCCGCCTGCCTCACCAGGCCAGAGAAGGAGCCATGGGGCCCAGTGTTCCCCCACACACATCCCAGTCTTGCCTGCCAGCCCTTTGGGTTGTCCCCACCCATGGCACCCCAGGCGAGAAAGCCAAGCCTCAGAAGGCAGGCTCCAGAGCCCCAAGGAGCTGCCCATCCCTCAGATTTTTTCTGGCTCCTCTCAGGAGGTGGGTTGTAGGGAGAAAAACAACAGCACCAGAAAAGAAAGAGAAGCAGGAAAAATTAGAGGAGAAAGAAGCAAAGGATGAAGGAGAAGAGGAGGAAGTAGAGGAGGAGGAGGAAAAAGGAGAGGAGGGGGTGAGGATGCCATATCTCTGCCCCACATTGCCTCCACACCTCCTCTGGCCTCTGACTACAACCCCAGAAGCCACAGCCGCTGTAACCCCAGGGGTCCCTTCCTCCCCCACCAGGCTTTCTGGGAAGAAGGAGCTTTGGGTCCCTCTGGAGCATCCTCCGGGGCCCTTCCTTGATCTGGTCCAGTGCTTCCCTCTTGAGGCTGGGGCCATGCAGCCAAAGCACCCCAGGTGGCAGCAGGAATCCCTGACTTGAGCATCCACAGATTTTGGTATCTATCTGGGGGTCCAGAACAGATCCCCCACAGATACTGAGGTCTCACTGTATATAATATACATAAGCAGAGTTTGGAAGTCAATCTTAATTTATTACTAATAATTTATTAATTGCTTACAAATATTTTAATTTTAAAAATTGTAATGGTTAAAGGGCTAAGATGCTAATAAGTAGAATAAAAATGAATAGTTTGTGTTCTTTTAATTTTTTTAATGTTTGGTTAATGTGGTGGTAGTCATTTTTAAGCATTTTAGCATTAACTAATATGTTTCTAGATTAACAATAGTCTGTTAGTGTAAATGCTAACACAAGAATATATATAATCTTTCCTTCAGAGAAAAAGGAAACATGTTTCCTCCCCTTCATTTACTCTATGAAGATTTTATACTGCTGTGTTAGGCTCAGCCTGGAACAAACAACTGGAATAATACAGAAATTTTTATTGGCCACTAAGGAAGGCCACTTGTTGAAATATGTCTGGCCTCTACTTACTGAACAGGAGTCAAGACCTTTGCCATTTAACT